TCTACCTCTGTTAGATCTCAACTAGTGGAAGACTGTAGGAGAGAGCTGGTCTATATCTCTGATTAACACGAAATTACCCTAATATGGTTCAGTAACAAGTAACAATAACCGAAATTTATCATTCGAAGGCTAAGCAGAGGTGGAACCGTACAGGATCATACAGGATCGTACCCGGCAGTTCTGGGTGTCCTACGACCCACTTAGACCAAAGCTCTCTTAGGAATGAGCAAAGAAGATACATACCAACTTACTGCAGTGTGCACAGGGCTCTGGTCCATTAGGAAAATATTTTTAATTGCATATTTTACTTGTTCATAGCGCATATATTTGAATTTTGGGTGCATATGTATATGCGCATATTTTAGATTTTTTAGCGCAAGAGATTCCGAGCCCTAGTTATGAGCAGGCAACGGATGTTATGGAAATTGTCTTTTCTTGCTAAAGAGATAGAGTGTATTCGATTAAGAATGTCCACGATTTAGCTTTCGCTGATTCCATATGCACACATTTGATGCCTTTTTTGCCTAAGATATTTGCCTTTTTGTTCCTATTGTACCTTTAAAAAGTGATTTCAGCGAGGAAAAAGCCCTTATTCCTGATAATATAAAAGTTTCAAACGTTCCGTTAAATTGAGTAAAAAATTAATTCGATTTTCGGAATCAGCAAGCAATTCTATATAGGAATGGATATGTAGTAGCATCCGTTGAACATTTTTCCTATAAAACAGTGATATTTTTAAGTTTTTGTCTTTTTTAGTGCCTTCTTTTGCCTTTTTTGCTATTTCTGGTGCCGTTCCTGCCTATTTCGCTATTTTATTTTGCCTTTTCCAGTCTATTTCGCTATTTTATTTTGACTTTTTTATAGGGTTTTAGGTACTAAAAATCCGTTCCCTGGTTATTAGCAAAAAGGATTGTGTTCATCTAACACAAAATTTTGCACAGGCTATGCTCTCTCATACAAAGTATCACTGCCGCATTTATTTAAGGAATGAAAAAATAACTTAACAGCTGCAGATTAATTTTACGGCAATATTAGTTTTTAATTTTATTCATCAGTATGTATTTATGTATGTAGTATGTATTTTTATTTTTTAAGTTGTGTGTACATGTTCACTATTATAAACTTCTAATGAATATGCCAATATATAATACTTTTACAATTAACAACTAGCCTAGTTATACGCCAGTATGTTTATATGCATATAAATAATTAATAATGGTATGCCCGATTGGAGAATAATTACTATTTTTGTATATAATAAACTATATTAAATTAACACACGTATATTTAAATTTTTTGTATAATGTGGTGGTAAATACATTTTTTTTTTTGTAATATAGAAAATCAAATTCTATGCAATTTCTGATTTTTAATATACGTGTACATATTTACGGCGAATTATAATAAATTTTTTTATATGATTTTTACTTTGTTATGACAAAAATTTATCACAATAATTGGTGTACATTGAATTGGTGAGTGTGAAAAAGGCTGGGACGAGTTATAATTAAAGTTTTAATTTAGATAAAATTAATTTAATATAAAAAGTGTTAAAAAAGATATTAGGATTAGGAGAAATAAAATTTGCTAGAAACAGGTGGAAGGCACGAAGATGTAGAAAAATTATAGATGGAAAAGTCTTTTAATGCATTTATTTTGCTAGACTAAAGAATTATGTAAAATTAAGTATATAATTTAGAATTTAAAAACAAATGCGACACGATAGCCGAACAAGTAAGCGCTAATTTCGTTTAGCAGTGTAGTAAATACAGTAAAAATGAATGCAAGAAATGTTGTATGCGTTTGAAAAGTACGCTTTTCTTACGTTTTAAGTGTTTTTTTTGTTATGCAGATAAACTCGCTACTGTTATGCTAACTTGCGCCTGTGCATTCGAGTGTTCCAGTTTCTTTACTTTTCGTTTTTTCTTTGTGTTAATTAATTCTTAATTTTTTTTGCTATTAGTTTTACTTTAATTGATTTTTCAATTTAATAATTTTTATTAAATTTCTCCCTTTGTTTTTGCGAGCGCATTTAACAATTTTTTAATTTCTTTTAGTGATAAAACATTTTCGAAATTCTTTAGTCAATTCTTAACATTGTTTATAACAGCTAATTTTAAAACATATGCATCTAATAATTTTTGTTTATGTTTTAATTTCTTAATATATGCATGCAGAAAGTGTTGTTTTGTTTATTTAAAGAATGGATTTTTCGATGCTGATGATTTCATAGTGCAAAGTATTTGTCGCTCTAATTGAAAATCATAATCGAGTCCCTTAAGCACGTCTGCGATTTGTGGCAGTGTAGGTAACTGGAACAAGGAAAAGTGGATATACATATGTATTTAAATTAGTTTTATTCTATACTTCATGAAAGATTACATACATATGTACAGTGGCGGTCAAAGATGAATGAATGGTGTTTCGTTTCTAATATTTACAATTTTTTCAAGCAACATTTTTTTGGTATTTTTATAAGTAAAATAAAATTATTAAAAATCATGCGGTTTTTAGCCGCTCAAAACTTGCACTTATTTACTAGAATTTTATAAGCTTGTTAACTGCATACCCAAAAAATTGCTAAAAATGCTGGTTAAAAAGCTCAAAATTTAGATCAAAATTTGTGGAACTTTTCTAAGGTTTGTATAAAGTTTGAAAGTGTGATTTATACAGTTTTTGTTAAAGCATGAACGACATTTTTTATTAAAAAATATCAACAAAATTTTAGCTTGAAAAACAATGTAAATATTAAAAACGAAAAACCATTAATCCATTTTTGACCGCAACTGTATATATATTATATGGAGGGGGCTTGAGTAAGGTTCACGTTAGGGTTTTGTAAAAAGAAAGAACAACCAACATTTTTTGCCGTAAATTTTCAACCAAATAAAATTATAGTTTAAAAAACTAAAACCTCGCTATTATAATTTCCATTCGTACCGTCATCAGGTATGTAATGTAAGAATAGAAATCGCCGCATCTTTTAGGCGCCTCAATATTACAAAAACTTTTTTGTTATTTGCTTTTGCCAACTTTTGATGCTTTCAAAAGAAATGAAAATTTGCCATCATTCTCACTTTGTCTAAGAACGCGAAGCGAACCCACTCAAGCCCCCAATATACTATAATTCTTAACCACATTATCCAAAAAATTTTCAAAAATCATAATAAAAATGTTCACTCACATCATTGTCGGTGACACGCTTCAGCGTTGGATTTATTATGAATGGCACACCCTCTACTTCAGAGTAGGCACCCAAAGTGCCTACACTATGTCCTGAAGTGTTTGTGGCCGTATTGGCTGTGAAGGGTGGACGCGGTGCAGGTCGCTGCGGTGACTTGATTTGATATGAAGCCTGTATTTCTTCGTAGTCATGGTCACTGGGCACAGGTGGTAGCTAAAATGTTTGCAAAACAAAAGTAAAAAAAAAATAATAACTTCTTAGTGCCTATGTAATAATATAATACACCCACCGGCTGCTTGGGTGGCCCACCATTCCAGTTGGTTGCGCCACCACCACCGCTCAAATTTAAACGATTCAACGCCTTCTCCACCTCACTGCTGCCATTGCTGATTTTGCCTGCGCTGCCGCCGTTTAGTAAGTGTGACGCGACACCTGGTACCGGTGGCGGTGAACGTATGGGTATGGCACCGGTTTTGTAACAAATCAATACGCCATTTATATCACTGCACAAAAGTGAAAAGTAGATTTAGTGGGAAGGAAAATAATATTTTCGAAATATGTATTTATTATTTGTTTAATTATTACCCAGCTAATTTGAAGCCCTCAGGTGCTACTTTTAATTTTGAGCACAGTATTATGTCGGTGACGGCTTGTGTGACATTGCCGCGCTTGGTAAGTTTATAGGAAATTTGTCGCTTGCGCCACGCCTTTTGTTCCGTATCGGCGGTACGCGAGAGCAGCGAAAATTCTTTGGGAGGTTGTGTTTTCTCGGGTATAACTCTGGAAATACATATGTAAATGCAAGGTAATTATGTACTAGTCTTTTTTTAGAGGTTATGGAGTTGAAATGCAAATTTGAAGTAATGCAAATTTAAGAAATATATTTTTAATTAATTTATATGGAATTTAGTTAAGATATAGGCAGGCGAAAAAGAAATAGTTTTGCCTCAAACTGAAATTATAATATTTTTTCAGTTTTGGTTTTCGTTTACATTTCTGCACGCGATATAATTACTATAGATGCTGTTGAGGTTATGGTTGTGTTTAGTGTTGAGGTTATGTAGGTAAATAATTGGATTTACTTGCAATTCCGCTAAGTACTGAGGTGAAAAATGGAATTTTGGTAGATTAAAATGAAAGTGTGACATCTTTACGAAACTCTAGGTTCAGAAATATCTAAATTTTTTACAAATAGTTCGAAGGAAACTTCTAAAAATATGAACTGTAAACTTAGCTGATTTAAAATGGCGTAGGACTTATCGAAAATGCATTTTGGCATGAATTTGGAATTTTTAAAACGTTAATTTGTAAAAAAAATCAGTAAAAATCGTTGATTGGCAATTGAATAGTTTTTTTTCTTAACATGAGTGAAGTTATACAAAAACTAATACAGTAGTGTAGAATACACATATTGGGAACTAATTTATGTAGAAAAAGATTAAGGTAAATAACTAAAGTAAAGTTAAGAAAACATTTCTTCATATGCTAATTGATGTCCGTTACGCATTTTAAATATTCATTAGATGCATTCGAAGCAAATATTTGCTTTTTTCCCACTGTCAACAAACCGGCTATAAGCTATGAATCACCGAATAAATTTGCGTAAACAGCCATGTACATATCGTCACCTGAAATGCAAAAATACGTAACAAACAACATTGTTGAAATGCAGAAAGTCATAACTATTAAAAATATCAAAATTCACTTTTTTATTTATATGATGGATTTTATCGAATTACAACTCCCCAGGTGACGATATTTATTAGTCTGTTCGACAAGCTGATAATTATTGCAAATAATCACAAATTATCAGGTTTTGGCGTTCGCGTACGTTAGAAACTAGCTAAGTAGGGGAAATCGAGAGCGCAAAGTGACAGTTGATTTGGAGAGGAAGTTGCTGATTCCTGCTGGAAAATTTTTAACCACCAGCAATTTGCCAGCAAGAAAAACAGCTGATCAAAGTTATCTGTTTGCAATTTATGAAATTTATTGTGATGATTTTTAAGTTTAAAGTAACTTGCAAATATTTTCCAGCAGAAACTAACAACTTCCCCTCAAAATGAAATGTCACTTTGCTCTCTCAAGTAGGCTTTGCAAGTTTTTAGCGTACGCGAACGCAAAAAGCTGATAGTTTTAGATAACTTTCAATAATTGACAGGTACGCGAACGCAACTTGCACTTGTAGTCAAAAGTCGGATTATTATCACGAAGTGATAATTCTTGAAAATTAATATTTGGCAGAAATGTTTAGAATTTAAACTTTTTATATTAGATTGTTGGTTGTTGATGAGGAGAAAAAAATGTATTTTAATATTTAAGTACATAGCTTTAATTGTTTGAAAATTTAAAATAATAGGAACACGGTTGAATTGTATAAATAAGTAGGTTTATTTCGAGCGAATTATTTTACACGACTTAATTAATATTTTCAATGACAATAGATAAACATTCATAAAATAATTGATATTATACATTTTTAAATACATGTTTTTCGACTATAAATTTGCTAGCTCAATTGAAAAAAAAACATTTAAATTAAATAATTAGTACAAATACTTCTTTACTGCTACTCATCTATTTTGGACAGGTGTGCACCCATTTTCATACAAGTACATACATACATACATCAGTATGTACATTCGAAATTCCATACAATTATTTGTGAGTATGTATGTATGTATGTTTTTCATTTAACCTTCTAATTATTAACTGCATCTCCCACATTAAATAATCGCTCCGCATTATGCAATATTGCTTTGATACATAACTTAGCTGTGCAACAGTAATTGTGTCGTAGGTTCTTTGAACTCTACACCCGCAGCCCAGCCCGCCCAAGTTGCGTTGATTTGAGATTGTTGTACTTTTTTTTTTGGCCTCCACCTTTGCGCCGTTATGCCGTCGTTAAATGTAAAATCCCAACATCATTCACTTGTGAATTAAATACAATTACTTTGAAATCGTAAATGACTCAATACGCTTGATGAATGATTGATGTTGGTGTCAATTCGTGAAATTCCTAAAGTTAATTCGTTAGAAACACGGATTTTGATGTGTATAAATTTAGTGAAACAACATGAAGAAAAAAATTTTTTTTTGCAATTTTTTTTTCAATGTGCAATAATTTTTAGAAGAAAAGATAATAATAATATAGAAAACCCAAAGCGGTTGCTTTATGTACCACTTTGAAATTTCAACAAACCATAATAAATCAAAAACAGTTTCAGCGCACAAAACAGGCCGAACGACAAATTATGTAAAAAAAAAATTAATTGGTTTTATTATTTTTAACCAATTTTTAAACCGCTTCCCAAGTCCCTATCCGTCGTGATCACGAAATTCTTCCGCAAACTCGAAATTCGTGAGAATGGTATCACTGATTTCGAGTTATTTTATTGTGATTTATTATATTTTGATTTGAAATTATTAAACCAAAACATAAAAACAAGAAAAAATCAAAGGCAGCACTAACTACGAATGCGTCGGAATAGCTAATAGCATTTCTCCCGAATTCGTGACGGGAGATATTTTCACGACGGGACTTCACTCGGAATCTGTGATAGGCCTGTGTTTTAATTACTTTTAACCAATTTTTAAACCGCTCTCCAAGTCACTATTTTTTTTAAATAAGGCTATTTATACCAAAAAAATAGGGACTTAAAAAGCGGTTTAAAAAAGGGTTAAAAATAATAAAAACAATTATTTTTGTTTGTTGCATAATTTGCCGTTTGGCTTCGTTTGTGCACTAAAACTGGTTTTGATTTTGTCGTTAAGATTTTTTTTGTTTAAACCGTCTTCTTTAAAAAAAATATAAGGACTTGGAAAGCGGTCTAAAAATTGATTAACAATAATAAAAACAATTAATTTTTTTGTAGCATAATTTGCCGTTTGGCTTGTTTTGTGCACAAAAGCTGTTTTCGATTTTTTCCAAGAGCAATAAAATCAACGCTTCTTTCATCGTACAGTTTCATAAGTAAAGTAACTCTTCTTCTTACCGTTTTTTCTGGCAGGCTGTAGGTGTGTTTTTGGTTAATGTATTGGTATTTTTGGTTCAATTTGTTAGTGTATTTTGAATAAATTGTAATAGAAATGGAAGAAATTGTAATAGAAATGGAAGAAATTGTAATAGAAATGAAAGAAATTGTAAAAGATAAGAGCAAATGCCAAAAACAGGTGATCTCAGCTGTAGGCATTTTTTTGGCAATCAGCTGATAGTGTTTTTATTTAGGAAGCTGTACGATGGCTTTTTTACTCTGTTCAAACATCTGCTACTTTAAAATTGTATTGTACATACATACATATGTATGCATATTCATATTATGTACATACATACGTACAACTGTACGCAATTTATTATTGTTTATTGTTCATTTCTTATATTCATTTGTTATTGAATTGTTATCTGTGTATATTTGTACTACTGCACTTAATAAATACAACATATTTTTTCCTACCATTAATTGTTTGCTTATTAAAGCTGCGACATACATTGATAAATTAAACAATGAGACGTGGTTTTACAGGCACGAGGATCGATTTAGAAATACCTACATAGCAAATAAGTAAACACATATAATTTTCCAATGATTCTGATTAACTTCTTTTTGGTTGTTTGGGTTTCCGACAGGGTAAGAGTATGATGTATTGTGGAACGATCTTCCGTCATCCCTTGTCAAATTTCTCTTTTTATTAACCATATTCGGTGAGTCTAACAATTTACTAGAGTACAGTACAAGCAACTCTACACGCGAGTTAGTTTCTAACTAATGCCTCGCGCACACAGCGAGAAGGCAAGGTGATGAGGTTAAGAGTTGAACGGGTCAGCAAGCTGATAAGTACTGAGCTCAGCTAATAGGCCCTTATTATGAGCTGCATTCGATTTTCGATCTTCGCTGGCTATCGAAGATCGAAAGTGAAATTCGTATTATGAGCTATGCAGGCGTGTCGAAATTTTCGTTGAGTATCGAATTTTCTGTCGAACAGAATTTTGCTTTCAATGGTGTAACGAAGTGTTCGAAAATTGTGAAAAATGTATGATTTTGTATATGTTTTCTTACATTTTGG